GTGTGTGTGTGTGTGTGTGTGTGTGTGTGTGTGTGTGTGTGTGTGTGTGTGTGTGTGTGTGTGTGTGTGTGTGTGTGTGTGTGTGTGTGTGCGTCTGGCTTGTGTTGCACGGAAGCGGGTGGGTTACAACACTCTCCTCCCCTCGAGTAACGTCGGGGAGGAAGCGCTACGAGTGCTACAAGCGCGGAGGCAAACCCCCAGGTGTCCGCCTCATCTCGAGAGCAGCGGGCTCGTGTTACAGGGCGTAGAGGGCTGCCGGAGCATTTCCTGCCCTTTGTCTTGGGCGATTCGCGCGGAAATCGCTTGCACGAGTCGTGTATATTCTGCGAGGCTCGTCGTGCGCGCGCGCGTACGATACCGTCCGCGAAACCCCTTCGTTGCGGATTAGAGCGCGCGCGAGGAAGCGATCGCCGTCGGCGAAACGCGCACGGTTGTACGCGGACGAAAAATTGCGAGGGGAGCCCGGGCTACCCTCGGCCGAAACCATGCGCGAAAATATGGGGGAGGGTTGAACGTACTGCTTGCGAGTTATATAATAAGTAGACGTTCTACGAAATTTAAAAGGAGTAAAAAAACTGTGAATTCCTCCTCTCTCGCGAGCCGTTCTTGCGTGAATATCTCTCGCTGCGAGTGTTAAATAAATCTTCTTCTTGTGTCGCGCATGCCGCGGACCTTCCGCGAACGGCGCGCGTCTGTCGTAACACCGTTCGCGGTATATTATTTCGCAAGAACGGGCTGCGCGCGATATCGGCAGTAGTCATTATCGAAGCAGTTGGCAGTTGCAATAGTCAGTGGCGGAGTATTCGAAGTATAAGTGTGGTTCAAAAGATCCCTTTGTGTTCTCGTCAAATAAAATGGAAAACCAAATTATGCGTGGAAACCTGACTGATTAGTCAACAATCATACTTTTTTTTTTATTCTTTATCCTCCTTTAATTATATAATTAATTATTTGTTTCTTTTGCGCCGACTTTTAATATCGTTAGAATATTAGGATAAGATGGTGAGTGCATAGGAATATTTTTTAAAGTTTTTTTTTAGGACGGTTTGTCTTTTATATTAGTAACTTTTTATTCCGTATTTTTTTATTTACAAAAAAATTTGTTTTTGCGAAGTCAAAAATAAATATTTCGTCTCATGTGTCCCTAGATATTCTCATATTAATTGATATATTATATTAATGAAATTTATTTTCATACTCTGTATTGTCACTTTGATTCCTCCGTCATAATTGATTACAGCGCGGACGTGTGGACGGTCCGCGCTGTAATCTTTTAATTTGTGACAATCAAGAACGCTACACATTACTAGGAAGAATATGCGGATATCGTGTAGTAACCGAGTGTACCTCGATTCTCGACGCGTTTTGGGAACTACGTAAGCTTACTAAGTAACTAAGTACCTCTTCATTCTAAAACTTTCATTTTTGTTTTTTCTCTTCTTTTTACATGAGCGTCTCGTGTAAGGAAATTTAGCTTGAGAATCGGGAGAAGACGTACTTAGCGCTCGAATACGCGTCGAGAATACGGTCCACGGAATTGAGTCCGTAGAGGTCACCTACGAAACAGAAAGCGTTCCGATCGCGTCATCCATGCGCATCCGCCCAAGCGCGAGGGTGGCTTCCGGTTTCCCCCTTACCACAGCGAGTTTTCGCTCGGGATCTGGCTGGCGCTACGATTTGGAGGCAGGCCAACGGGCGGCCGAATCCTGACCTGTCCCCTCGCTGTGTATCGTACATCCGTACGATTCGGTGCCACGCGAGTCATGAGGAGAAAGAGGGAGAGAAGGCGGCGAGAGGGGAAAAGAGTGAAGGGGGAGAGAGAGAGAGAGAGAGAGAGAGAGAGAGAGAGAGAGAATACGCGAGTGAGCGAGAACGCGCGAGACCGGTTACGTGGGTGTACGGAAAAACGGGCACTCAAACCGATATAACCACGGCTGCCACGACGGCCTGGCTGAGCGTATAAAGCCATTGTTACGTGCACTCTGCATCCCGCATCCTGTACGCGCTCGTACATACACGCTATCATCCCCAGCGCTTACGTCCTCTCTTCTCTGTCTCTATTTCCTGTCCGCCTGTCCTGCTCCTTCTCTTGCTCTTCGCTCTCAATTATGCAAAATCGTCCTTGCGCGAGTGGAGCCGCGTTTTCGGAAGGTGTACTGAGATCTGCGGGGAGAGAGAAAGAGGAGAGAGAGGAGAGATAGAGAGAGAGAGAGAGAGACACTGTCTTCCGCGGCACAGCGCGCGAATGCTTTCAGGACGCTTCTGAAAGCATTTAGCCGAATCAAGATTCTCAGTTAGGGAGAAGTCAAGAATGCCCCGAGTAGAATTCGGGATCTTCGAGTGAATCCCTTGGCTCGGATCGTCGAGTCGCGAATTTGTTCGCGTAGAGCCGCGGATTCGCTCGCCCGACTTGTTAATTCACGCCGTGAATGCGCCTCGAGTTTATTGCTCTCAATAGGCTATAAATATTTCAACATTTAGATATCTACTAAAATAACGTTTAACCTTTTGGAACAAACCGTGATTTCAACCATATCGTAGCCTCAGGCATAGTGATCTCGCAACGAAACCAACGCTCAGCCTGTGCATAGTGTGATGCACTCTATTGGTTTTTTGCGTTACTCGTATTCGCTCAGTTTGCGCGTTCTGTAAAAAAAAGCAAAATAAAAAAAAATTAATTTTAAAAGGAATGACTTCTCGGGTTGCCACTCTCGACATGTAACATGAATATTTTATTGGGATCCGAATTTCGAAGGTCCCGTGCCTCAACGGGTTAAGGATCGCACACACGCCAACCAAGCGTAGACGGTTGCACGTTAATCGTGAATTATTCTCAAGTGCTTCGCACGTTCAGTATTGCTCGCAATGATGTTTCACTCGAGCAATTTTATTTCGCGCGTTACATACACTATAAAAGCGTGTGCAATCGTAGTTGCGTAACCCACGGCGCGTCGCGGTATCCTTTCGCCTCTCGTGGCTTCCATACTGGTTTCTTCATCGGGGCCCACGTCCCTTTGTGCGCGGACGTGTCCGGATTCGCGAGAACACCGAGGCGGCAATTTTCTCGAAGCGCCGTCTCGCCGCGGAAACAACTGTCGACCGCGAACGGAACGAACAACAGCTACGAGACGCGAACGGCACAACGCGAGTACATGATAAATCCACGATCTTACATTATCCCGGCATTAACTCTCGTCGAACATTGCGCGTTCAGTCGCGCGATTTGTGGGCCGTAAACCGAGTCTCCCGATATCCCCCAAGGTCCAAGAGAACTCAGCCTCGCGTTGGCAGCAATCTGGAACAGCCTGTACATTTGGCCGCCCTAATTATAAGCATTCGATATTGTAAAATTGATTATACTCAAGGCGTGGCATCGGAGATTTTATCCACTATTAATTTTCTACTATGTAATCGGGCGAGAGAAAGGGAGAGCGGGGAACAGGTGTGGTCGCTCCAGCTTAATCGAAACTGCTATTAATTAGCAAATATTACTAAATATATCTGCGGAACCTTTGCGCTGATATACATCGGAAAATTTGTTCGTCTTTGGGAAAATTTACTCCACGACCAGGTAATGAAAATTAATGAAACACAAAGCCAATTGTTCCAATCCCTCTATGCTACCTGACAGTTAAATCATATGTCCATCTTCGTGTTTTCTTCAAATTAGACAAAGACAAATATATGATTTAACTATTAGATAGCTTACCAATAAGTTGGAACAACTAGCCGACAATCGTGTGCTGTTCACGCGGTTCTTTTGTCAAAAACCCGAATGAAGTTAACTTTAACATTGCGTTAAACAATATTAGCCTGTTGCCTGTTTTTTCTGACTTAAGGTTTAAGGTCTGACTCAGAAAGAGATAAAAAAGGAGAAACAGGAAGCAAAGAGCACATTTTAGATCAAGCTTAAAGCCTAATCTACAATATGCTCCTCGCTTCCTGTTTCTTATTCTTTATTTTCTTCTAACTAAAAGATTAAGATTTAAATCAGAAAGAGATAAACAGAAAGAAACATAAAGCAAAGAGCACATTGTAGATCAAACTTTAAACCAGAAGGAAATAAAGAACCAAAAACAGAAAGCAAAAAGCACACTGTAAATCAGGCTTAACAATGTTGACTCATGTATTGAAAGTAACACTTTGAATATTATTATTTCCAATAATCTCTCTTTCCTCTCGATGAGATATGTCAAATTTCACGGTCTCTATACATTTATCTGTTCTTCTCCACTATTGGGAAGAACTCACACCTTAGCAGAAAACAGAAAGAAACCGATCAGAACTCACACTGGTGATTAGGTGGTAAGGTAAACGTCCTAGTGATTGAACGTGTACCGATAATTGAATTACTAATAATATACTTGTGTTTGTTAAGATGCTTATCAATAAATGAAACAAAATCACAAAGTAACTAAATATTTCTTTTCATTTATTATGTTGTTTTGTATATTAAAAAGCATTTCAACAAAGAATAATACAAAACCAATATGTCAATCATTGGGAAATGTATGTTCGACCACTGGAACGTTTACCTTAGTAGATAGTTTCTGCTTTCTTATCAGCGTGAGTTCCGATTTACAATGTGTTCCTTGCTTTCAGTTTCTTGTTCTGTCTTTTTCTGACTTAAAGTTTAGAATCTGTATCGGTAACAGATAAAGAGATCGGAACAGGAATCAAAGAACATATTGTAGATCGAAGTTCACGATCACACTTGGTCCTGTCGGGCGATTGAAAAGACACTCGCGCTAATTCCGAGAGAGTCGCGACTGAGCACCACTGCGCAGGACTCCTTGGGCGCGCGCGTACGATACGCCATGCGCCAGTCTTTTACCGGAGCGAAGGGCAGAGCAGCGAAACTGCAAACCGGCGGTATATCGGCACACATTCTATTCCGTCTGCGCGATGCGCGACGCGTGTGCATTCACACGTACACGCAAGCCAGCGTGCATACAATACGCACACGGGCGAAACCACACACACACACACACACACACACACACACACACTCGCGCTCTCGCAACCACTCGCATAGTACGCGCGGATGCCGCGCTCACAGGGTGCGCTGCTTCCCCTTCGAACTCCTAACCTAACCTACCTACCCCTACCCCGTGGCGGTATCCCTTCAGTCGGCAATCCTTACCCCCTCCACTTTCCCTCCCCCTCCCCAGTCGCCGTCCCACCGTCGCGTCGTATGGGCAGCGAGCGTGCAGCTGCCACACTGAGCCGGAGTGCGCGAAGCCGAGAGAAACGCGAGACGCGCATCGACGCCGTTCCTGTCTGTCTATCTGTCTGGCTGCTGGCCGGCCGGTCTGTCGTCGCACGTACCAACTAACCTAAAAGTTGCTTCTCGGCAGCCTGACGCCGGCGGCGTGATCGCAGCACGCAACGTACGCGCCCTTCTCGTGGTACACGAGACAGAGTGAGAGAAAGAGAAGGAGGCAGGGAGGGAGGGAAAGAGAGAGAGACAACGATCCTTTGTTTCTCGACGTTCTTGCGGCCTCCCGCCGGCACAGAGTCGCGGTGCGAGATCGGCCAGCTTCTCTTTCTGTCTCACAGTTTTCGCAGGCGTACGTGAGGTTACACGCGCCACGGACAGCCAACGACGCCCGTCTGCTGGTTCACTTGTGCATTGTCTACGCGTGCCACTTATTCTACGGTGACCTTGAACTTGTGTGCGTCGCCGCGCGTGCAAGTGTATGTGTGGTGTGTACTGCCTGTGCTCATTCCATCAACGACCGCGCGCGCGCGCGCTTTCATCTGTCCTCTCTCTCTCTCTCTCCCTCTCTCGTCGGAGACGGCAACGGAGGGTGAGAATCGAACACGCTGAGAGGGAGACAGACTGGAGATAAACGACGAGGAAGAGGAAACCGGAGCTGGTGACAGGGAAGTGGACGAGGAGGAGGAGGAGGAGAACGTCAGGCAGCCGAAAGTGAACGCGATCGAGGATGTTCCCGTACGCAACCTTCCCAGTTGGGTAAGCGAACGACACCCGGCTCTTTGTGCTTTGTACGCGTCGCGGCCAGCTGTCTGTCGAACTGTCCGTGTGGACGACGACGCGCGAAGTAGCGAAAGCGCTGTCTGTTACTGTCTCTCTTTCTCTCTCTCTCTCTCTCTCTCCCTTGGAACAGCGTCGTTTTTGCGAACTTTCCCGCGGCTAAAATTCCTCTTTCGGGCCGCGAAATCCTCTCATCCGTTGCACGTTGCGCGAAAAACGCATATACGCGCTGCTTTATTCGTGCATGCATTGTGTACCGCGGCGTGGCGCAACGTGGTGTGGCATAGCGTGGCATGGCGTTCAGATTCCCTGTTGGACGACGTCCCTCGCCCGGCGACACACACGATCCTTTTGATCCTTCACACAGGCGCGCAGCACTCGTGACCGACCGCCGGCCGGCGTAGTTCCCTTTTTTCCTTTTCTACGCGTCCGTAATTGGCGTTGCGACGCAACTGTGCTCCGAAATAATATTATTTTTCATGCATTTTTGGCGGACGATGTTCGTCGCGGCTGCGGAAACATTCGCAGTTCGTCGGCGCGCTCCTATTTTGTTCGGAAACAATGGACACTCCCCGCCGGTCGCCCCGAGAGCGCGGTGGTTGAATCAGATGACAGGGGTGGTCAAACTCGGGATGCATGCGGGGCCGGCGAAACGCTCGAATGATGTATTGAGCGATCGTGCGGCTGCTCTCTCCCCCCCTCTCTCTTTCTCCCTTTCCATGTCATTCGGCAGTCGTAAATCACGCGAAAACGAAACGCACGCGCTTTCCTTGAAATCGTGGCCTTCTCTCCTCTTACCCCCTTCTCTCCCTCCTTCTCGACCTTTCCTCACGAAACGGTTTGTTTTCGTCACGCTGTCGGCCTCCGGTCGTGTCCTCAGCGCACTCTACCGTGGTCCTTCTTCCCCTCATCTGAACGTCATATTTTCCACGAGCGGTGTACACCGGGCATTAACGGGGCATTAGCACTTTTTCGACGAAGCCCGCTGTTAGAAAGGCGTCGCTCGGCGCGCGCCGAACCGGCCGACCCGAGTATAGTGGCCTCTCTGTGCTGTCTGCCGGCTGCCCGTCGGAGTCTACGTGTATTACGTACGACGTAATACCCGGCGATTTTGAGCATTATCGGCCAACCGAGCGCGTCACCAGCTGCGACGCGTTTGACCCGAAAATACGGAAATGAGAGAGGCCAGGAAGGTATTAGTTAACGTCCAATGTGCAATGTCCAATATACTCCCCGTTGGACGATCGAGTCCTCGCTTGTTTGCCCATCTTTCCTTCTCGCGTTAACGTTCACGTGCCTGTGCACTTGCCTCCCCCTCTTTAAGCCTCCCTCCTCCTTCGCGCACGCTTTCCGTCATTTCTCGCATGCGACAGAACTTTGAGCACGATTGTCGTTATATATTCGATTATTTCCTCTTCCCTCCGTGACGATTGAATCGCGCTATCGGGTCGATTCGAGGCCTACACGCAGACGTGAGAGATGTCGAATTGTCAGTCGTTGCGTTGATCTACGTGTAAGGGTAGATACATGGAAGGGAGGGAGAGAGAGAGAGAGAGAGAGAGAGAGAGAGAGAGAGAGAGAGAGAGAGAGAGAGAGAGA